CCCCCCCCGCCCGTGGGTGCAGGAGCGCCCTGCCCAGCCACGGGCTGCCACGTGCCTGCGACAGAGCGGGTCCCCGTCCCTGCCCCCTGCACGCACTTGGCAGCCGCCGCAGCCCAGGGACCCCCACGGCCGAGCGGATTTTCATGCTGTCTCCAGGAATTGATATCAGCGTGGACCAGTCTAACATCTCGCAGGTTTTTTCTACTGGCTACTGGAATGCGCTCGTTTGGCTTAGGGGTCCTCGATGTCGAGAAACTCTTGCTTGGGGGGGGCCATGCCGCGGTACCAGGCACACGAGCCGTCGCTCCTCTTGATGCAAGCGTAGTGCTTCGCCTGCCGCCCGTCCACGTTGTTCTTCTCCATCGCCCAGTCTGTCCAGAGACACTCATCCGAGGAGGAGACGAAGCAGGGGATGGAGAGGCAGGGGGAGAGGTGGCAGACCGTCACCAACCACCCCAAGGGGGAAACGCCGGGGAGGGAGGGGGGTGGGAGGAAGCAGCGCTGGGCAGCTGGGGCTGGTGGTCCTCCACAGTTCTGCTTCATCCACCCCCCCCCAGCTCTGGACCAGGGATGCCAGGCTGCCCCTTCCCTGCGAGGCACAGCAGGGACGCAACCCCAACGTGGGGGGACTGAGGGAACCCCTGGGTTTGGGTCCCAGGGCTGGCCTTGGTTTCCAGCGGGAGAGAGCTGGAGGCTCAGCTGCCCTTCCTGTATCCCCAGCCATGTGCCGTGCCCCCTGCACAGCACCATCCTTGAAGGACGGGGAAGAGCATCTCATCATGGAGCCCACGCCTGCCTCGGGGCTGCAGGCCCCACTGGCGTGGGGCGCGGGGCACAGCCCGTGCTCAGGGGCAGCCCAGCCGCTCACCTTGCACTCGCAGCCCATCTGGTACCGCTGGTTTAGGCTCTTCTTCTGGGTCGGGCTCAGCGAGTCCCAGGTGGAGACCAAGTCGCAGAGTGTGATGTGCATCTTGCCATTGCCCTCTGACTTGCCTGGGGAGAGGCCAGACAGACCACTCAGAGCGTTCCCCCCAGGCACCCCGGGACCTGATGTTGACTCGGGGTGCCTGGGGCTCAGCCTGGCCTGGGGGGCTGGAGGCTGCTGCAATCCAGCTCCTCCCGCCGTGCATTGTCCCCGGTGAACCCTGGGGGAGCAGAGGCTCGTCCCAGGGCTGCCAAGCATGGCCAGGACACAGCTGGGGGGTCCCCCAAGGGCTGGTGGTGGGAGCAGGAGGCAGGGGGGGCTGTGCCTGGGGAGCAGGCACACGTCACAGGCGTCTCGGGAGGCACGCGAGGCAGCAGGACCAGCACTGCCACCGATGTTCCCCCAAGAGCCCTCCCTTGCGGCTGCCCACCTGCAATGAGATACTCCTTCTTCCCGCCGGTGTCCAGCAGCCGGCCACACACGGCGGTGGATGGAGCCGTGTAGATGAACTCTATGTCCTTGTCAGGGCCCTTAAACATCTGGGGAGAAGGAGCGGGAGTGAACGGCCGGCACAGAGGCTGCCCCGTCCCCCCCAACCTCCTGCCCCAATGTGCCCCATTACCTTGATCTGCTTGATTTCATACTGGATTCGTTTGATCGGATTCCCATATATATCATTCCCTGAATCCACCTCTTTCGCAGAGACGGCCTTTGCTCGGATCACTGCAATGGAGAGGTGTTGAGGTCAGCACGGGTGGCCAGGGACCAGAGGTGCTGCCAGCACCACGCAGTGCTGCCCCGGCAGGACGGTCCCACTCAGCACCCCCACCCCACAGGGGCTCCCACCCTTGCACGGGGCCGGCTGCCCTCGCTGCCTGCAGCAAACCTCACTGCCCTCCCCACAGATGCCCAGCTGCCCACAGAGCTGGCTGTCACATGCTGTCCCCAAAGGGACTGGGCTCTGGCACGCGCGGGACAGCGACGGGCAGTGTTGCAGCAGCACCCTCACGGCAGATGATAAGGAAAGGTCATCCCAGGATCTCCCAGCCCCACCACCACCAGCCGTGCTGGACCAGTTGCCCTCAGCCAGCACTGGCTCGGTCTCTGCTCAGCCCCTGCCAGATTCGTGGGCACAGACTGGCCCTGCCCGGGTTCGTGCCCGTCACCCAGATGGCACCGGGACAGCTAAAACCTGCCAGCAGCATCCTGGGAGCACCGCAGTATTTGTCCCACTGTCATTAATTAAACCGGTCTCTGATGAGGGCCCCAGCCAAATGCCTGCGTGGCCTGGCAGGGCTGGAGGAGAAAAGGACAGAGGGAGCTATTTGGACGGTCACCTTTGGGTGCAGAGGGAGGCGGGAGCTGCGTCCCTGGGGCAGCGTCCCGGCAGCTCGCCATGGCTAGCATGGGCACCAGCACTGCCCACCAAGTACCTGCACAGGCAGCTCGTGCCAGGGTCCCCAGGCCCCCACGCTCTGCAGCCCCCATCTCAGAGAAACCAGGGAGCCCACCGGCCCCTCCCCATGCCGGGGGAGCAGGGGTCCCGGGACTAGGCTGCCTTTGCACCCCACAGCAGGAGGATGGGATCCCCATCCCACCACAGAGGGGTCCCAGCTGCCACGGGGCGATGCTCTGGCTGCCAGCTCGCTGCCAGACCTCAGCTACTGCCGTGCGGAGCCTCACGCCGTGCAGGCACAGAAACCGCATCCTCCTGGGGCGGGGGGCCACAGGGTGTCACTTCCTGCCCTCGCCGCCTGCAAAAACAACCCGGGGATGCTGAGTGCCGGGGCAGTGGAAAAACACGACCCGGTGAGGGGAGACAGTGAGCTCCCCAGCGAGCAGCCCCGAGCAGCCCGGCCAAAGGCACGAGCCCCCCTGGCTCTGCGTGGC